TTCACCAGCAAAGGCCAGGGTGTGATGGGAAAGACTTCAGACACAGCAGCTGTGCATAAACACAGTAGCTGAACACTTCCAAACATAACAGGGTAGGTGAACACTTCCAAATCATGCCTGTTGGTTCATGCTAAGCAACGTGATTGTTCCCAATCTCTCAGTGGCTTGGACAGGAGACACTATTTGCCTTCTGCAGTAGTTTATGGGGGTATTCAGAAGAGAATTCTAGAGACCTAGGCAGTTTGTGTGATCAAAGACTTAATGACTGACCAGAAAGGTAAAATATTCCAGCTTTGGTCTTAGGAAGCTGAAGTCTCGTTTTAGGCAGTTTTGTTTGTTTAGATCTTTCTGTTGCTGTAGCTTTGGTTATACCTTTCACAGGCATCAGTCTCATCTTTGTCACTTGGTGCAATCAACTGTAATTTCAACATGAATCTTGTTGTATGTGGTAGTATTCTGAAAGCTCTGGTCATAGCTGATAATATATTAGCTTTAATTTAAAAACTAAGTCACCTGCTTATTAAGAGTATGGAAAAGGTTGGAAATAGGCCAGCTGTTGAGTAAATGCTGAGCAGAAGAGAAGCAGCACTTCAGAATAACGCTATCAGCCTCAGAATTTTGTTTTGGGATGACTCTTCCTTTTTTTTTTTTCCTGCCATTTGGAATTAGAAATAATTTCTCCAGGAAAACAGTAGTGTATTTTTAATCCAGATGACAATATTTGCTATGCTTTCCTTATTTTTTCATCTGCTCTTCTTACAAAGCAAAAGTACTTTGGTGAACCCCACGGCAGTACTTCTGTTTAAGTGGGATCATGACTCTCTTCTTAATTTTGGTCAGGTTTTGGTTTCTATATGCCATATTCTGCACCTGTGTTGGAGTAGGCCCATACCCATGTGGTCACTTCTATCACTTTGTGATATTGCCTTCCATCACATTAACATTTATTGCTCTCTTTACAGCATTCCCTTTACTATATCCACTAGAAAACCTACTAATGCTAATTACTTGCAAATAGTAATGGTAATTTTAATGACAACCTCAGTAAATTGTTTTTATATGTTGAAAGAAAATTGAAAACTAAATGTGCATTTTGCTGCTTAATAAGAATCTTACAGAACAACTAATATTCCTTGTGCTCCTTCTGTCTAGTGGGAGCACAAATAAGAATCTCCCAGTACCCACTGAGAATCCCTTTTTGGGTACCAGGGGGTGGGTTAGGAGGAGCTGAGGAGACACAGTAGGTAGAAATGAAATAGAAATGGAGGTGCAAGGAAAACGAAAGATGAAGGTGGAGAGACTGTGAAAGAGGGTGAAGCATGAGGAAGATGAAACGGGGTAGAGGAAGCCCTGTTAAGACTTTAGGAGCACCTCTGGATAAGAGACAGGGCCTTTTGGCTCTCTTCTTTCTGCGGTCTGAGGGAAATTGAGTTCAGGACGGCTGTAGCAGTGTTGGGCCAGGGTGGAGGCATGCAGGAGGTAACAAACATCAATGTGGTTGTACTGCAGTCCAAGGCCTGCTTTTTCAGAATTGGTCAGAAAACATGCCACACATGTTCCGTGTGGAGCAGGAGAGCTGGGGGTGCAGGTGCAGGCAAGTCAGAGTCAGTGCCCCCTGGTCCTGCCCCAGTCTGTGTGTGAGCTGTGTGGCAGCTGCTGCTGGGATGGGCTTTAGCCATCCCAACGCTGCTCTGTGCCACCCAGGCACAGCTCCTGGCTCTGCCTGGGCTCTGCCATGCCTCTGCCTGCTCCCCAGCAGGGCAGCATCCCCAGGATGCTGCTGGGTGGAGGCTCCTACTGGGAGGCAGCAGCATCCTGGTGCTTCCATCTCAGCTCTCCTGGCGCCCGTGCTGCAGACAGGACCCACGCCTCGCTCACAGCCACCAGCACCACTCCCCACCCGTGTGAAGTGGCTTCCCACGGGCTCTCTGGTGATTTGGCAGCAGTGGAGGGCTCTGTGGTTTGGCAGAGGTTTCCAGAATGGGCCCAGGCAAAGCGGATTTGGGAGAGATGAAGCTCTGGGTTGGGAAATGGTGGTGCAGAGAAATCTTTACTTATCCCAGGCTCCTGCCCTGACTGCCCCCAGCCCATATCCTAATGTCCCAAGAGAGGGGAGAACTGAAAAAGGATCTCCTTACACAAGCCTTTCCCAAAGGACGCTGGCATGAAAAGTAGCTCTGGATAAGATCCATTTGCTTTTAAAGTAGTCAGTACCTGGTAAGAGCCAAACTCCTGCCTGTCTTAATAATTTAAGCTTTGCAGAACAGAAGCTGGTTGAAATTTTGACCTTATAAATTACTGCTGCATAAGTAATCCTCAGGAACACTCCCAGTATTGTTAACTGTTTGTAGTTGCCCCAGGACCTAGGGGTTGCAAATTGTTCACTTTTGCAGTGAAAACAAAGCATTAAACGTGTTGCAGATTGTCAATTTTGCATTCAAATGTGATTTAAATGCTTAATAGAAGTTGATATTAATGAGAAGAGTTAGTTTAGACAGTCTGATTTAATTCAGATGCAGTTGATGCGCCTCTTCTACATTTAGTCTTGCTTTTAAAAGATAAAAATAATTTGTATAATGTTACAAGTATGCCAGAAAAAATAGTTAGAGGCATATATATCAAAACAAAAAAGACAAGGGGCAGGTTACAGCCAGGGCTGGTTTAAAAAACAAAACTCCCCAAACCAGTCTGTATTCAGAGTTGACGTGTAGAAGAATGTGAGTGTTGGGCAGATAAAAATTGAATTACAGGTATGAATATGCATAACTATACTTTGTGAAGACTTTGCACCTAATTCAACTTTCACCAAGATAACTCTCACTGCTGTTTGTGCTGTCAGTGACTTGGCTTACATTCTGCCTTTTAAAAAAAGATTGATTAACCTGTCCCTTCTGATTTTTGAGATGCTTGTATTCACAGTGCTTTTTAATTCTGTAGCAGCATATATGAATACTGTAAGCTGAAGTCTGTTCATATTGCAGTACCCCATTCGGAGCTGTTCCAATTTTGTTTTAAATAGTGGAATTCAGCAGTTGACTCCCAGGCACAAATAACCATGTAATTACTCTGCAATCACATAGTAATTAGCATATACTATTCATATATTGCATAATTATATGCCCTGCAGATTACATAGTAATTATATTTGTACTAAACATATAATTCTATATACTGTATAAAAAAAAAAACTTTGAGAGTTCATAGTTAATATTATAGTTGTATACTAATGTAGTACAACATTTTATATAAAAATGTTACAATTTTATGAGAGGGTTGTGTTGGGTGTCTCATCTCTTTCTGCATCTGGTGTTGCATAATCTATTGTAGGCTACTGTTGTAAGAAAGGCTGGGCTCTTAATTTATAGTCAAATGTTGCATATTTACAGTTTTGTAATTTATGAAGATGAGATGCAAAAGTTGCCATTTTGTTGTGCAAGCAGCTGAGATCGGGAAGGACTTGGAGTGTGATTGTTAAATTACAAAGGTTAAATGTACAAACACACTGAACACAGCTACACAGCTACACTCACTGCTAGAGTGAAGCACAAATCTCACGCTCCTTAGCTGTGTGTCATTTTTGGGTGGGTAAGATGCATTGGACAGTTGCAGGTGATCTATTTGAATAATGGGAAGTGTGTGCAAGCAGCCAAGGCCCATCTTGGGCACAGTGTGTTCCAACAAATGCAGCACCTCAGTGCAGCATCTCAGCCAAGCTGCTGTGTGTTTTCCTGCTGTGGAAAAAGAGAAAAGGTTGATGTCCTGATCTGGAATGGCAGGCAGCATGGTAGCAGAATGGAGATGAGTGGCAGTGAGTTGTAGAAGGACCTTGGACTGAGTTTCTGGATAAAGGTGGAAGATGTAGGAAGAAAAGCTTTTTGTAAGAGTAATTTAGAGCTTTGGATCATTTAAAATGTTTTATCTTCAGCCAGCCCCCAAAAGAGGTTGCAGCAGATTTCAGATATTTGCAAAATGGTTTGTTCAGCTTGCAAATTCTGTAGCAGTGGGAAATTAATGCATTTTCTTGGATCTCTGATGTTGGCACTCCTGACACCCAAAGCAGCATTATAATTATTCTTAATTGAATTTTGCAATCTAATGCCAGTTGCCTTACTTTTCAAGCAAAACATCTATTGGGTTTTAATATCTGGGTAATGTATTGAGAAATTAAATGTGTAATTATAGCTTTAACTTATATCTGAGTTTAATTTTTCCTATAATTTCTTGTAGTGTGTATGTGTGTGTGTGTGAGAGAGAGAAAGGGATATTCTTGTTTTAAAATGTTTCTTTCACAGTCACTTTTTAATTTTATGTCAGCTTCTTCAAACCTTGTGAAGTTTATAAATTTTCCAGGGTTCAGGTGTCATCTGTAGACCTTATAACAGTGTTTTACCTAAGCATGGAACTTGTGGGTGGCCTTACAGAGCTCCCAGACATGAGGCTGTACCTGATTTCCTGCCTATCTGGGTGGGCTGTCCTCAGACCTCAAAAAAATGTAGTAATGGGCATGTCTATTTTACTTTCTGCACAGTACACAGATTACTTTTAGATGTTGTCACGTGGGGTAGGCATGGCATTGTCAGTTAACTTGTTCAAAGGAAAGAACTGGGAAATGTCATAGGTTTACAAACCCAGAGTTAGAAGCCCGTGCTCCCACTGTGTTCTTATGCCAGATGTATGCTTTCCAATTTACCAGGAATTTTAAGAGCTGTTTGGTGAGACCAAGTCTTACCCAAGAGTCACTCTGCATGAAGAAGATGAAGTACAGCCTGCCCAGAGTGTCATTTATTCACCAGCATTCTGCCCTCATAGCATGCCCATGCTCTTGTTCACTTGTTCAACCATTACCCCGAGAAACAAAAGGACTAGTCCCAGTTCCAGGCACTGAAAGCTTTGTATGTAACAAATAAATGTATTCAGGATCTCGTTAACAGTGAAATAACCACAAAGCACGAAGTGTAAATGTGACGCCTTTCTCACTGCTGTTGTGTTGTTTTTTCTAGTGGAGCCAGTACTTTCAAAGGGGAACAATTGCTTGGATGCAGCCAAAGCTTGTAACCTAAATGATACCTGCAAGAGGTTCAGATCTGCTTACATAACCCCCTGCACCAGCAGCACGTCTAATGAGATCTGTAACAAGCGGAAGTGTCATAAGGCCCTCCGGCTATTTTTTGACAAGGTCCCCCCAAAGCACAGCTACGGGATGCTCTTCTGCTCCTGTCGAGACGTAGCCTGTACTGAGAGGAGGCGGCAGACTATTGTTCCTGTGTGCTCATATGAGGACAGGGAGAAACCAAACTGCCTGAATTTACAAGAGTCCTGCAAGAAGAATTACATCTGCAGGTAAGATAGCACACGGCAGGGGAGTGATTAATGAGGTACCAGAGAGAAGTTTGTGGTGCTGATGGATTTGCCAGGACTAAGGGTCAGAGTACCCACTAAGGAAAAGGATGAGTCAGGGAAAAAAAAGCAAATGTCTCTGACATCCTTAACAGAGTAACAAAAGCCCTCATTTGCTTACAATGTGTGACTTCTCCAAAACTGCTCACAGCTACTCCCTGGCATTATGGAGGAGTCTTTAAACCCCCAGTTCAATTTTTACAGATTTTTTGCTGGAAACATTGTGTGTCTCTATGAAATGATGTCTCTAAACAATTTTTATGTCCCATTAGTGACCAGGTAAAAATAGAATTTTTTATTATAATGGGATTTATTTTCATTGTACATGTTGGTACTAGTAATTGGGAATGCAAGCTTCATGTTGGACTTTATAAATAGTCACAATGCACAGACTACTCATGTGTTTTTAATTAATTGGAAAAAAATGAGTCCCCATTGTAGACAGAATCCCACTATCTTCATAGAGCAGTTTAGCTTTGAAATTGTCTCATCTCCCCTGCCCTGGGCAGAGTGCTGGGCTGATGCAACCGGGGGGTCATTGATTCATGCCCTAATTCCCAGCCTCTTCCCTGAGTGTTCCGGAGTGCAGAGCCCTGCTCCACGGGACAAAGCTGGGTCCTTTCCCCTCCTGGGGTCCCTGCAGGTTCTCACACAGAGCTTATTCAGTGGCAAACAGGCCCTCCTCTGCTCTCAGGAAATGCTTTGCTCCCGCTTAGCATTGTGTATGTTTATATTAGGGGCATTGTTGTGCTAATGTCATATTTATGAAGTCGTGCCCGAGAACCCTGCTCGTTTCTAATGTGTAAATTTCTTGTAGATTAGCCAATTCTGTGAATTAGCAAACAAGGGAGATAAACACTATTGTAAAATGTCAAGGACACTGAAGATACCATCTAAATCTTAATAAGTACTTACTTATGCCGGGTAAAATATTTACTTTGAAGTTTGTTTATGAGATTTCCACTGCTGGTTTTAAGCTATTTGCGGTAGCACTTCAGGTGTGCCTGAGTGCTGTTCAGAGGTGAGGAGGTGAGCAGTGCCCTGTCCTCCATGGCTTTGGGGGAACCTGGAGACACATTTCCTGTGGCCACAACAGGAGCAGGTTTAAATCAGAGCAGTCTGACTTGCATTCACCACCTTGACTGCTGATGCTGCTGCAGTTTATGAAAGCCTCAGAACAATCCATTTTCTATTTCCAGGTTGTTCCATTAGTATTTTTGCTTCTATGTATTGCCTCCCCTGTGCACAGGTCCTGTTAATTAGCAGAGTTACAGTATCTTTACAGTGTTTTCTGCCAAACTGTCAGTGTGTTACTGTGCCAGTGAAATTGGAGAGAGGATTTTATAGAGAGAGTTTTCCCTCTTATTTGGGTTGTAGTATTCTGGAATTAACTTGTTAAATTAATGCTATTCTCTCATGACTGTGTTTTTCTTAGGTCAGCTTTGATCTAATATTGTCTCAGCAGTTAAGTTTTTTATGGCATTTTGTTTAATTTAGCTTCATGAGTCTGGTGTTGGGTTTCTCCATTGCAGTGTTGCAGGGGAAGGCTTGGTAAAGTCTCTGCCTGAAGTTGCAGCAAGCACTGAAATGAAAAATGGATTTATTTGTAAATGAGCAGTGGCTTCTTTTGCTTTAGAACATCAGAATTAAAAAAGTTTTGGCTCTTCCAAGGCTCAGTGAGACCTGGCTGTGAGGATGAGGGGCAACACTGGAATGGGTGGGCAAATGCCTGCAGGGTCTGGGGCAGACTCATTTGTGGGCAGCATTTAGGTCCTGTGGAGGTAAAGCAAGCTTGGTGTGTTGCTGAGAGTCACCTCACGTTGTGCTACAACCTCCTGGGCTCTCTAAACTGCTGTGGTTTAATATCTTCCCTGCTTGCCATCATGGAGAGGAGGAATTGGCACCAAAGCTGACCCAGCCTATCAGACAGGGAAAGACATTTTGTCTCTGTGACTTGTGCACTTACAGGAAATTGGTGAGATTTGTTCCCCTAGTCCTGCAGGAAAACAGCAACTTGGGCAGGGCAGGAAAGAAATAGGAGATCTCCTTGCGATTGTAACTACTGGCACTGATAAATATCAGTCCTTATAGTAATTCCAGATATGTTTAGAATAATTAAAAGCAGTAGGCAGTAGGTGTGTAATTCTAACTCTGATAACTTCTATTTCATTTTGAAATCAGAGAGAGTATCTAAAAATGGCAGAATAATTTGAAAATATGGTCTGCCTACTGTGAAACCAGGTAATTTAGAAACTGTTATTTGCATGCCTATTACACCTGTTACAGCCTTTTCATAATGCTAGTTTAGAGAAGGGGTGCAAGTTCTAAAGATTTTCTGGAAATATGTTCATAAAATGGTTTATGAATGCTGCTTACTGAGAAATGCAAGATTTGAATCTGCCTGTACTCTGTATAAAATATCAGCCTGTGTAAAGTTTTTAAACATTCAGTTTTGAACACACTTTAAAAGCTTTATCTTGGTGTATATATCACCAAATCTGTTCTTGAAGCAGGGTTAAGAGCAGGGAAACAATCTGGCCAAACTATAGGTACCACTCACATGGCAGGGTGCTTTGCTTTTTTATTGTTTTTTTATTCAATTCATTAATCTGTTATATAATAAATTCTCAATCGAGGGATAAAGAGACCTGAAATGTCAGGAAATGTAAATAAGTTCTGACTTACGTAAACAGTCCTAATTTTCAACTTCATCAGAATGCTGAATGGTTCACTCATTGTCATTTATCTGCTGCCTCTGCTTGTATCCAGTCCATATCCAGCTTTGAAACAATTGTAGTCTCTCAGGCACGTCTGTCAATGCTCAGTGAGAAGAAAAGAAAAGAAAAAAAAAACAAACCAAGAAGCAGCCATTAAAGTTCTTTTCTGTTGTGAGCATAAACAAATCTTCTAAGAAAAGTCAGTGTACGATCGAAAACTTTCACCAGTGATGTCCTGGAATAGCACAGACCTCTAAAGAACTTTGTGATCTGATCACTTCAGCTTACAATTAGTCTTCAGAAAGTTGACTAGCATGTTTTAAGAATATCATCCTGCTGCAAATGCAGGGCATGGTGCTTCATATTTGCCACTATCACATTTGACAGTACTGCAAATACTGTTTTGCTTGAGTAATGAAAGTGTGAGTTATTAGTTTGGTCTTTTTAATAATCTGTGTCTTGAATTTGCATACTTGGGGTTTTTTTTCCTGGATATGTTCAGAAGACACTGACCAGAATGATAATGATACAGACACATTCTTTATTGAAATAATGTACTTGGGGTTTTTTTTCCTGGATATGTTCAGAAGACACTGACAAGAATGATAATGATACAGACATTCTTTATTGAAATAGTGCTGTCAATCCATTCATGTGCTGCAAAGATCAGAAAAGAAGGGCAGCATCTTCTTGCTGATAAAAGAAACTGGTAGCAGCATGTTTGTTGTCCTTCACAATAATTATACTCCAAATGACTGGTCAGATCACTGAGGTTCATTTTTGAAGCTCAAATAGCCAGAAAGTAGTTCTTAACTAATTTCAGAAGACTTCAGTTGTCTTCTTAATTTTTTTGCTTTAATTCTGCAAAATGTACATATTGCTGTCTGTAGATGTTTGATACTGGAAAAAAAAAAAAAAAACAAAAGAAAAAAAAGCTTAACATGTTTAATTTCTTCCTGTGGGATGGGGAAAGGATATTAACGAAATATCCAATTAGATTCCAGTACATGGGTCATCTCCTTGAAAATACAGTGAAAAATGTTTCCAGCACTGTGTGTTCAGAGAGTCAAATCTTTATAATTGTGCTTTCATTGTTGTGTTCCTACCTCTTGACCAGTTTTTGGTCACCTGTCCTATCCAGTCTTAATTTTGTTGCAACCACCCATTCAGCTCTGCATGAAGGATGTCTGCTTCTGCAGGTATCAGAACACTCTGTGAGGATATGCAAACATTATTGTCAGTGCAGAGAAGAATTCATCCCCTGGAAATGTTAGAACAGAAGCTCAGCTGCTTGCTGCATTTCCTGAAAACACCAGAAACTTGCCAAGGAAATAATTTTCCTTTGTGATATTCTGTTGAACACTTCTAATGATAATTTACCTTGGAAAGGGATTCACTGTGTCCGTGCTCCTTTTCTGTGAGGCACGTGAAAATCTGCAGGTGCTTTACACCTGGAACCTCAAACCCTGCACCACCCTCGTGCTTCAGCACTAGAGACAGGTCTGTGGTGAGATGTTATAACTGTGCAGACAACCCTTTTTGTCCTGCTCCAGGATGGGGGGAGCCCACAACCTTGTTCAAGGAGGGAGCAATCCTCAGTTCCAGAATTAACAGGGAGCAGTTGCGCTGGAGGGATGTGCGGGAGGAGATGAAAGAGGGGAAAAAGAAATTTGCCCTTTTCTTCACATTTTTTCTTTCTTATATTTCTCCTTTATTTTTCTCTTTTTTTCCATAGCTTTTTTTCCCCCCTCCTCCTACCTCTTCCCCTTGCTTAGTCTCCTTTCATCTCCTCTTCCCAGATCTTCCTGCAATTACCTGACTTTCACCACCTCTCTGACACGTTTGAATTCCATTACAGCCACTTACGGTGCCTCCTCACCTGCTTCTCTGCATGTTGTGCTTTTCCTCCCTCAGTATCCTGCCACGGTCCAGTGATCATCTGTAATTCAGCAAATGAGAGGGAAAACAGAGGTGCTGCCTCCTTTCTGAGCCTTGTAGCTGATATTGGTGACAATTCAGTTGGTCAGATAAAAGCCTGAGCGCTCACTCTCATCCTGACTCTAATCCTGCGTGTTACAAGGGCACTCGGTGGGTGTTTTTATGAAGGACACAGTAGCACTGCACAGTTTGGGATAACAGAGATGGGTTTGAGTCCCTCCAGGGCATTTACATCAATTTGGCACTTGGAGCACCCTGGCAGCTCCTTGAGATGATTGGTTTGCTGTG